AACCTAGTTATAAAATATTGTAAAGTCATGATGGAAAAACAGTTTTCTATTGCAAAAAGAAAACAATAATCGTACACTCTTCAACATGTAAACAACTTTTAAGTTTTAATGCACACCCTACTGTCATTTTTAAGCCATCACTATATAGTATATACACAACAACATTGATGGGAATATGACCTAAACATGTCTCACAATATGTGGTGGTAAATCAAATGTGTCCACATAGACGTACACTCATATTAAATATGAATTTGAAGGCTATTAATTATGTGGGAACTGAACAAACAATGAATGATGAATGATGAATGATGAATCTACAAATTAATGGTAACGCCTCTAGCTGTGGTATGGTTATAATTATGATCATTTGGCGTTAGCTCAGCTGCTCCAAAAATAGAGCCATGTCTATTTGGATCATATTTTTCACCATCACCCCACAATGCATATGCTTCTTCTCCATGAACAGCATCATCACCGATCATCAACTCGTTTTCAGGCATCCTTAATGGCATGAAAAATTCTGATAAATAGAAGAATAATTGTTGTGGATACAAGGTTCCATCCGATCACAAATAAGGCTGCAACTAGTTGTTTTAGGAATTGTTTGCCTCCGTTTTTACCATAAAATGCACCTCTTGAACCGCTAACTGGTAAAACCATGTTGCATAGGGTCGGCTCAGCAAGTAGACCGGTCAATAGACCACCCAAGAGACCTGCTACTGCATGTGTGTGAAACACACCTAGGGTGTCATCCACCTATAATTATTAAGACAAGTACACGTTATATATGTATTTTATGGAAAATCCAAAATTATGTTCTTATTCTATATATAGCTAATTAATATATTTAATATGCATGTAGCATACTATTTTTGAACACGTTGAGTCAATTTTAAAACTTAGGTCGAGTGTTTCATACTATGTGAAACACCGCTAAAGTCTAAACCACCTTCATATATATGTTGTTATCTATATATGTATTACTACCATTTCTTTTTCTAGAACTACAATATATGATGACTAATCTATTCAATCGATATGTTTGTTTTAAAATGGTTCAAATCGATTGATAAGTTATGTAAAACAAATGCTGTTTAGTATTTGTACTTATGAGTAATCTATGAAATAATATTTATTATATATGTTATGTGTAATAAGAAAGAAGTACATTATAAGTACCACCGTGATAACATAATACGATAAGAACATATGGTTGTGTTTGTGATTGCTTATTTAAAAATTGTATATTTAAGTTAATAAGTATTTTTAATATTTTTCTATCTAACTACTTATATTAATTTATTAATGGTGTAATAAATCAATAAACATTTCAAATAATAAATCTCAAATACCCTTAAATTATTTTAAGAGGCGTAGCTATATGAGTGTGACAGTTGGTCTTAGCCCACCTCACACAAATTTAAAGTGAAATATATATTATATATAAAAATTATATTTCTTTTGAATAAAAAATGATTAGGCTCTGAATTATGATATGATTCATCTCACTCAAAACTACTTAAATTGATAAGGAAGAAAAGAATTTGTCTGTTGAGACACGTCGATTAAAGAATTGAGATAATAATTTTTTGAATATATCAAATTGCATTTCAATATTAATAGTGAATTTCTCGTTTATCAGATTCGTATATTAATATTTTTTTAATATATTAATTAATCAATTACTTTCAACTTAAACAAACAATTCATTTTAAAATCATACATTGTTACATTTTGTTATCATTTGAAGTATTTTGCTATTTGTTCATATTTATTACTTGGCCTACCCTCAAATAAAATCTTGGCTACGCTGCTAATTATATTTATTCAAAAGATAACTATTAAAATAAGAAATATGTTCTAGTTTGGTTTAATAACAAAAAATAGTCTAGTAGTTTAGAATATACAGGTTAGAATTCAAAATCTCGTAGTTATTTCTCATAACGAGAAATTAAATATCCTCATATCTTTTGATCATATTTTTCTTTTTATTTATTTAAGATGATGACAAATGAATAAATTTAACATGTGAATCAAATTTAAATTAAATTAAATAACATTTATAATTCAGTTAAAATAGATTGGAAATTAATAGGAAAAAAAAAAGGTAAAAAGATATTATAATTCAGTTAAATATCCTTAATAAACAAATGTCTGTACGGTAATAAGAAACTGCATACAAATAAGATATAAGATAATAAGATAATAATACTCTTTATTCTTTATTCTTATGGGACCCATCTAATGTGACGTATTATTCTTAAACACCTTTTCAGTTTAGAAAGTATTTTAAATGTCGTATGAGAATTTAAAAACTAAAAAGTTTCTAGAAGTGAGTTTTTACCTTTTGAAGCAAAATTGATTTTTTGTGAAGGATCATCATCGTAAACCATGGAATGCTGCCGGAAAGTATCCCCATGACTATCGCCGCCCATGATTGCACCACCCCTGCTCCCGGAGTAATGCAGGCTAGGCCTGTCATCATACCCTGAACAGCTCCAATCACCGATGGCTTTCCAAAGAAAACCACATCGAGAGTCGTCCAAACGAGAAGACTTGTGGCGGCGGATATGTTTGTGTTTAACACCGCCACTGAAGCAGGAACGTTAGCTGCATATGGAGCTCCGCCGTTGAAACCAGACCACCCCATCCATAGTAATCCGGCTCCGGCGAGCATCAGCAATACATTGTTTGGAGGGAACCTTTCCCTATCACTTTTTAACCTTGGCCCAACCTTCAATGCCAAAAATATTATATACGGTTAATTTGAATAGCAATTTAATTTAAAAATAATTCAATAAATCATAAATATAAATGGATTTTGAGATATTTTATATGTTTCTTTTGTAGTTACTATTTTTTTGACTATTTAAAACGTTATCAATAATTTGTGTTTTGTTCTGTATAATAGTTTTTTTTAATCATACATAATTTATGGTTTTGTAGGGTTATATAATTAAAAAAAACATTATATTGTTATGTATTACAAAAAATATGTTGTATACAATTGTCAAATAAAGGGAATTTGATTCATTTGATTGTGATAAACATGATGGAATGAAATTACATATCCTATTGACTAGTTTTTATAATTTTTTATTTTTTATTAAACTATAATGATTATATTATTAAATACAAATTTATTTTTATTTTATTCTAAGAATTTAATTTTAATTTTTAAATATTGGTTCCTAATTGAAATAAGATATCAGAAGTAATTTAGACGGACTCTCACTATTTGCGCTCCAACTCGAAAGATGTATCAGTATATAAATGAACATAAGGTTATAGAAAAGTTGAATACATGATTTGATTAAATTCAATTCCATTATGATTCTTTAATTCTTTTCAAAAAGATAATGTGAAACAAAAACCATGTAAGCTTGACTTGTGAAAAAGGTTGGTAGGCGTATTATCATTGTTTATTTATATAAGCTACATACTCTTTTTAATAAGTTTTGTAAATATAAGCATAACATATTTGATTCAAAATGGTGTTGGATTTGCAGAGAGTTGGCTCGTCAACTCGTCATCAGTTTATGACCCTATAGTATCTATCGAAACAACCACTTGATCAAAAGAAAATGAAGTCTTTAAATAATTGGTATCATATATGGAATATCATGTGAATGTATGGTCGACAATACATATAAAAATTTGACTATATATCTATCTAAAAAGTCTCCGCGTTTACAATGCTTTTTTTTTTTCCCTTTTACATCTCTATAGTATTGTGTATATTTTAGCTTGTTATAAAATTGTTTTTCAGATAAAATATACGATTATTAATTTATGATTTAATATCGAGTAAATAACACTCTATATTATAATACTTCATTTATACAAATTATATTTTATATTTGTTACAAAATGTATCACGTTTTGCATGAAAGCAAACTATATTGATCAACTAATTAAAAAGATAAAATATTAAATATTTAATTTTAAAAACAACTTTGTTATTAAAAATGAAAAAATAAAATAAAATCTCACACAAAAATAAATATTTGGTCATTTTATAAAACTAATATTATACATTTGTATAGACTTTTTTTTTTTTTTTTTTATACATGATACTTGGTAAAACAATGTTGTCATCAAAATATCATTAATAATCATATTATATCTTTTGAAAAGATTATCATGTATTTATTAATTTCATCGGTGGTTAACATGTTCGAAGTTTGACCAAAAGCTATATACGTGACCAAATATTAATTCTATAAGCAAATAAAATAACCAACAACTTATTTATTTATTTAATATGTCTAAGGGATAAATAAACAGTTTTTTCCCTAATTAAAAACACGATCAAATAGAAAGTTAAAAAATCTTTCACCAACTCATGTAAAAAGTCTTGCAAGGTAAATAAGGCGAAATCATATTTTTAAATTCTTTCTCAATTTTGTATTTTAAAAAGTATAGTATATGTAATTCATAATCCGTGTTTCGTATTTTTAAACTATTTAAAAGTTCATTTCATTAAATTTCATATCTCCTCTTATTAAAATTATATTTATGCATAAATACAATATGTATTATCTATTTTAAATAATGAAATTAACGATAGACAGTAAACGTGTACATACCCAGTAGGCAGCAGTGAAACCGGCTATCCCTGATGACAGATGAATAACATAGCCGCCGGAGTAGTCAATAACACCCCAATGATACAGAAAACCACCACCCCACAGACTAAATGCTCCGACGGTGTATGAAAACACCAACCACAGAGGAACGAAAGCCATCCAAGCCCTGATATTCATCCTCCCAAGCACAGATCCAGCCAGCAGAATCATCGTAATAGCAGCAAAAGTGAACTGAAAATACACCATCGTAGCCATCGGATAAAACGGCTTGGTCGCCGGAGATTCAACTCTGCCGTCGCTGTAATAGTGAATGGTCTCAGGCAGGACGGCTTGACGGGCGAGATACTTCTGACCCAACGCCGGTGCTCCCTTCCCCCAGAAAGGAAAGAGTTGATCGCCGAAAGCCATCCGGTAGCAAAGTAAGACCCAGCAAATGAGGACGGCGGCGAAGGCGTAAAGGGCCATGAAGGCGGAGTTGACCGCCCATTTCTTTTTGACGACGGAGGCGTAGAGGATGACGAGTCCCGGCATGCTTTGGAGTCCGACGAGTGCAGATGCTGTCATTTGCCATGCGTTGTCGCCTTTGTTGAGCCAATCGGGAACTGCCGGGAGGTGTTCTTCGTATGCTCCCGGTGTCGCCATTTTTGTTCCGAGATTTGTTCTAGATTGATGACAAAGTAGGTGGAAGTTTGTGAATGGTAAAAATAGGGGCATAATGAGTTATTTATGGAATCATGTCTGCACAATTTGATATCGACAGAAATATAGTATTTTCTTTTGCTTAAATTGATAAAATATGTAAATAAATAAATTATTAACCCAAAAATAATTCTCATTTGTGAACATGTATTTTTCTCTTGAAGAAATAACACGTACAATTCATAACTTGTTAATAAATTAAATCATCCTTTTAAATATTTGACAAAACTAGCTCCTAGTTGGAAATTAGAAATGGATAGCTAAGCACACCAACCAAATAAAGAAACAATTACTCGGATTTTTTATTGTTTTGAATTTGTGTTCTAGTTCTTATGTATATGAAATGAATTGTAAAAGGAATAGTCTTCTCTATAAGACTTATAAATCATTTAACAACGACTTCTTTCTTCCTCGTTAATTTTCGTTGAAAATGCTAATAGATGGAAAAGCTCGACGCTATTGTAGAAATTAAAAATTTTGTCAATATTAGCACAATTTTTTCATTACTATGCTCCCCAACATTTTTTTGGTGACTTTTTGGATGGTTAAAGAATGAAATTCAGACGCTGATTTTAGAAAAATTAATGCCTAATTAGGTAGTAGTTATAAATTGGTTAGGTAAGTGATTTTGTATACCATGATATTTCAAAGGGGGTATTAGGAATTTTAATATAGCTTCTGAGTTTCTCTCTCTATATATATACATAAGTATTTATTTCATAGTTTCATACATAAGTTAACAATCTAGACGTAAGAAATTTTTGGAAAGTAATAGGAAAAATAATGCAAAAAGTCGTAGGTCTCTGAGGGTTGGCGCTAGTCTTTTGGTCTTTTGGTATTGTCAACTAATAATTGGTCAATGAGTGAACGTCTCGCGGCAGCTTTGTTCATTTAAGGGGGGAAATGGAATGGGGTATTGAGACAACTAGAGATGGAAATAGGGTAATGAAGTGGGGTTGGGGCTAATATTTATACCCGTCCGTACATTATGGGATTGGGATTGTGGATGGTTGATCGTTTTAAAGATAACTAAATACTATTTTTAACTTGTTAAGGGTAACGATCGTTAGTTATATTAAAATTTAATTAACTTTATATAAATCTCTTTAAATAACCTCAAGAATGTCATTCTCATAGAAGATATATCGCCTCCTCGATAAGAGTCTAGCGATTGAGATATGAAATTCTACATAGAAGGTATAAGGTTCAAAACATGTGACACGTAACGAAAGCAAAGAACAAGAACTATCCAAAGGGAATTGTTTATTGAAGTCAAGATGCCCTTTAAGGCTTACCAAAAACCTTTTATAAAGAATGAAGCTAAATTTTGCAAGTAAGAGCAAATTTATGAACATTTAAATTGACATGAAGTTTTCATGATTTACCTCCAAACTATATTAAGGGGAAATAAAAGTACGAAAAACAAATATATTACCATAACAACATAGTAAAAGAAAATAAAGAAATAAACTAAAATTGGAGAAAACTAACAATGAGGACCTAAACAGAGTAATTTTCCGATGATATATTGCAGGCCTTCAAATTTCTTACGGTCATGTTTCCAAATGTGTTGATAGCATATAAGGTTTTGTCCATACTAATGGTTATAGTAGCTACCGCGGAAATAAGTTTTTCGAAATTGAAGTTATTGAAATCATATCTTTGAAGTACCATGTGTCATGAAAGATTAAACGGATTAGCAATTTGAGTATCGAAAGTCGCTTGCTACAAAGTATTGATTATCATAAAATAAGACTTGTTTTTATTTCAAACAAAAAATGCATGTAGGCATCGGTTTAGACGATTTTTTGAATGTTTTTGTTTGTATAACCATGATTGAGTTTGATTATAAATTTTTATTTCACTTTTGCTATATTTCTTTTACATATAAGGGCATTCATTTAGCATCTCGTATTGGGCATTGAAAGTCAACGGATCGATCCTACTTACGGATCAAAAGTTACATATGTTTTAAGTTGGGTCTCTTTTAAACTCATTTGTCTTCCTCCCATCTATCAATGAAAACATGAGTTATACCATCAATCTGCTCCACATCACCCTGACACATCTAAAAATATTGCTAGTTTTTAAGTATAAAGAAGAAAGAGAAAAATGGGAATGTAAGAAGATTGTTATTGATCATGTGATAGTTACATTGTGGAAATCTCTCTATAGCTACACATGGACTAACTATGGCTAAGTAAACAAACTAACAAACTAACAAATAGCTAACTAATCTCTAAATAAGACATGTGTTAAATATCGACATCCTCCCCTCAAGTTGAACTTTGATGAATATCATCAAGGTTTAACTTAGAAATGTAACATCCGGTCCAAGTATGAATCAACTTTCCTGTATTTTCTTTAAAATGGGTGGCCGCGATGTGGCGTTTCAGTTTGGATCGCGAGATTTAAATGACCCGCCACGACGTGGTCATAGGGCACCATAACGTGGCAGGTGTTTTAAGTAAAAACCCTAATCTCAGGTCTTGGACCCTATATAAGGAACATTAAGGCTAGGGTTTTAGCCTCCATCTCCCTTCCAACCTCAGAAACCACTAACCCTAGCCTCCATTGAGGTTGTGAGCTCATTTTTGGTGCTTTTTGTGATTTTAGAAGGGGAAGGAAGCTTTTGGTGAGGTGGTTATGTAACAAGCATCATTTCTTCCGCTACGCTCATCTCTTGGACCTTGGTGAGTGCTCAAGACTCAACCTTTTCTTGCCATGTTGCTAGATCTCTTGTTTTTGTCCCCCTTTTCCATGATTTTGATGGACTTAAGTGATGTGATCTCATAAAATTTGCAACTTTATGAATCTCCAGGTCAAAATGAGCAAGTAGTGTCTTGGATCTGGATTATAATCAAGTTTTGATGTCATGCATGAGATTTTAGTCATTAAACCCTATTTTTGCCCTAAAATAGAAAAGGGATGTTTTAGACATGCAAGTCCATAAAGCCACGATTTTTAAGGTCACTTTGGAGTGTGAAACCATTCTGGAAACTTTAGAGGTGCAACTCTAAGGATTTGGTGCTTAATGAGAATCTTGATGCATTAAATCACCATTAATGGTTGGGTTTGGGAGTTTGGCCTATGGAAGGGTTTGAGGGTTAAAGTTGGAAACTTTACCCATCAAGACCATGGGAAGGACCAGAACTGAGCCTTAGAGTTTTTGTAGTTGAAGGAAAAAAGGACTTAATGGTTTAAGATGTCCAGACGCATCACCATGGCGTGGTGACTTGGTCAAGACTCACCTGCTTTATCGGCTTGCAGCCACAACGTGGCGACTAGCTGGATTGACTTTTGACTTTTAACTTTGACCTGGATTTTGACCAAAGTTTGACCTAAGGGTATTTTAGGTATTTTGATATGTGTTCTGAGTTTTGGTCACTGTATTTATAAAGGTGGTCGGTAGAGTCGATTCTGGAGCAGCGTGTTATTTTAGTTTTTCATCTGTCTGTGAGGTGAGTCTCCTCACTATATCCATGGGTCAAAGGAACCAATGCCGACCCATTATTCGGTTATGTAGAATACTAGTTGTTATGTGAAATATACTTGTTTGTATGATCAGTATGAAATACACCCAAGGGCGGGGGGCACTATCAAATTATCGGGTTGAAATACACCTCGGGGCGGGGCCCACTATGGCATGTTCGGGTTGAAATATACCCCAGGGCGAGACCTCAAGGCGGGGCCCATATTTGTTTATCGGGTTGGAATATACCCCAGGGCTAGGCCCAATTGTATGTTGGTATGTGGTACTTTGGGGAACTCACTAAGCTTTATTCGAAAGGGAAGGGCCTGACGTGATGGCACAACATCCTCCCCTCGTGATTTTCGCACTTTCTGGATATTATTACTATAATAATCTTGATATTGTACATTGTGAATGTTTTGGAACAATTCGATGATTGTAACTATTGAATTTAAAACGAAAAAATTTATCACTATTTTTTGGGTCGTTACAAGAAATAGGATTCTGAAACTGAGGATTCCATTATCTTTTTGTAAATATTTTTGCTACTTGTTGCTTTATGGGAATATGCTTTGGTACAACAAGTCCAAGCTTCTATTGGTCACGGACTAGATGGCAATCAATATCAAGGTGTTTGGTTCTTTCATCAAATATGGGATTTTCGATGATGTGGATATGAACTTTATTATTACACCATAAGGAGACTGGAGACTGGAATTTTAATTTTAATCTTCAGATCTCTAAGAATGTAACTAATCCATAAGAGCTCACACACCGTAGAAGCTAAGATTTTGTAATGCCCGCGTTTCCAGCTAGGCTTAGTAATTAAACATGTAACCTTTATGTTCAAGTCAAGTAGACATTTTGTGAATGAATAAGATAAGATTATTCATATATTTTGTGCTTATGTGTTTTATATGACATTAAGATATATTATATAATAAAATAAATAAGATTTAAAATACACGTCAAAAATAAAAGATCACTTAGGGAAAATAATTTCAACTGTCACAACTAGCATTTTTAGCTTGAAAATTCTATTCTCATGTAGACATCATCTACTGTAAGGCATGTACTCTAAGTGAAAATCATACTCTATGCTTAATCAAAATCATCCTTTTGAATTGAACCTCACTCAAGAAGCCCATAACCTAATACAATACATTCCATATAGTCAACTATGGGTTGAAAACCCTAGGAATCCCGGTTCAAGTTAATATGGACTAGGATCCTCTTATTGGGCCTAATGGACCAATAAACTTTCAATTTGACTACTTTGGGCTCTAAGTGGACCAACATTCATGAAACTAAAACATTTTAGGTCATGTGGGCCTAGAATAGTTCATTTTATCCCTAATGGGCCATGATGGGCCATAAATGATTTCATTAGCCCTAATGGGCCATAAACTCCATTTCTTCTATCCCAATGGGCCGAGAACCATCCAATTGGGCCTCATATTATCGAAATCAAGCCCAAACTATTTCTCCTTTCTTCTCTTCTCCCTTATTCTCGGCCCAACTATAAAAAAAAGAAATGTGGAGATGGCTAGA